CATTGAAAAAATTTTAACGTTATTGTCTATGGGGAATTATGACCACTAGCTAAATAAACGAATACTATGTCTATTTTATAAATCTCATATAAAATTAATAAATTATAGAGATCTCACCATTTTTTTAGCTTTGAAATGGTGTAATAAAATCCACTTTATCTTGATATTTACTGTTGTCCCTATCATGTTGAACGTCGGGTTCTCTTTTGGTTGAGATGTGTTAAATTACGAGGTATACATATTTTATAAAAAATCATTTTAAATCGAGTCATTTTTTATTGTAAATCAAATTAAAAAATTATACAGTATTGGCAAATAATTTTCCTATCAAATGGTATAAAAATCGTCATTTTAAAATAATGTTTACTGTTGTCCCTAAGCATTTGAAAGTGAAACTTCATTATTTATGAATACGATGTATATTCATTCAACTACATGTAAGATTGACCGTATTCAAAGACAAATTGGTCTTGTTATTTAGTTGAATTCTCATTTTTATGATGTGAACTTCTTTTCTAATTACATCCATCATTTTAAATATCTAGTTAGGTTTTAAACAATATATTAATTTCTATTATACCAAAGAGTTCTTTAAACATCAAAATTTTAAAAGTAGTGTGGTTTTGTTGACATCTTGAAGAAAAATATGCAAAAAGTGTTTTTTTCTTTTTCGTTTTTTTTTAAAGGCTCTGTCTAATTAATCTTATTTTGATTTGAGTAATTATATTATTATTATCAAATATTTGAATACACAATTGCATGATTGTATTATTGAAAAAAAATGTCTACGAAATCTGAAAAACTAAATTGAAATAGAAAAGATGACAACGTGCAATTTTGACGCATAAAATGTATAAAAGTGCTAATTTTCATAAGTACAAAAATGGTATTCTTCTTCCGCTTTTTACACACTAAAATAATCACGCTTTGTATTCTACTTATAGAGATTTCCAATAAAATGACATAACTCGACATAACCTATCTGAACGTATCTCGGCCTATTGAATTGAAGCATGACGGAGGGGAGAATAGACATGATATTTTTGCTCATTGAATACACATATTTTGTAAGAATATTTAGTTATATTTTTTATTCAAAATTTAACCCAATCTGCTATTTTAAATCAGACAGTACATATTTTGTTATTCAATTCTGGATGATTTTATTGACAACAACCTGTTAATTTTCAAAGTGCAATAATATCAAAACAGCAAAGATAATAAATAATAGAGATGTGCCATTATGTGCATAAAATTATAGCAAAGGGAAACTTCGTGCAAAGCAACATTATTATTGTTTTATTGCAGTTAATAGAAAATGGGGATTTTGTGGCAAATAAAGCTAAGATTTTTGCAGAAAATCCACAGACTTTAATACAGAGATTTTCGTTATAAAATTTTAAACATAAATTACTCACCTGTTTGTCCATGATGTGCTAGCGTTTATTGTTTACAAAAAGGTTGTTTAGGAAGGTTGAACCTTTACATTCCAAAAAACCTCTTGCAGAGTCACTAAAACTGAGTGCACCCTAGAAGGTGTACTTGAATTGGTTCGTATTTATATTTGTTTTAACCAATATCTTAATTTATAAACTTGTTTTAAGGAAAGCATTGCTAGCACTGCATGCAATAATCCTCTATCAATCAAGCACCAAATTGTCAAATATAAGAGTACAAGGGGACAGGCTGTGGATTTTCTATAAAATTTTCATATCTTTAGACTTAAAACAACAAAAGGGTACATAATCCTTAATCCAGCTACTGGTAATCAAATGCACCGATCATTACTTGGTAATTTCACTTGACCCATATATTCAGTTCGTTTAACAACTTCTGATAAACACTGATTTAGACATTTCTAAACTTGTCAGTAAAACATCCGTCTAAAACATCTTTTACGCAAAAAAAAAAACCATTTAAATAAGTAGATAAAGAAAGAAGAAAAAATATCGCATAACGAAAAATACGCATTTAAAATATAGAATAATGGAGGTTCATCTGCAAAGTATAATGAAACATAAGGTGCAGTCATAATCAAAATCATGAAAGATCTTATAATAGATAATAGGGGATACGTGTGTATAATCTTATGTCAGCAAATTTAAGGTGGGAATCTGGAGAACCGTGAGATAAATGAAAAAATGCCTTATTTCTTTCACCTTTCATCACGTAAAAACAATTTGATATGGACGAAAATTTCAGTGTATGATTTTAATATTCTTGGAACATTTAATTTAAACTTGAGCGACGTATTTAACCAAATTCAATTTTTAGAAATAACCAATCCCATTAGGTCCGTAAGTCGAGTAACGTGCGTATGTCATTTTGTTGGAAACCACTAATGGTACCAATATATTTCGCATATTGTTATACACAATGCAGCAGTGTAATGCCAGTACTGGTATAACGATTTCAGCAATCAATTCATGTAATTTAGTCTCTTAAATTCCATCATATTTGTCAATGCGTATAAGAAAGATCCAATTTTAATTCAAGAGTTTTGATCTTGTTGTTAGATGTGGAATCTGAAGATCTCCGAACATTTTAAAGGAAATGATAGGGCCTTCAATTGATGTATTGTTAAAACTAGTCAAAAGCATTCATTCCGTTATTCAGGGTGCTTTGAATATTTTGTTCTTTGGAGTATTCGTGTTTGAAATTCATTGTTTCTTTCGAATTATTTATTGCAGCTGCATATGTCTGATCCGTAACTAACTTAAATTCATTTTGCTTTGATAACTATCATATACCTATATACCTATCATATACCGGTACCTATCATACACCTGTCATAAACCTATCATATACCTATCATATACCGGTACTTATCATATACCTATCATATACCGGTACTTATCATATACCTATCATATACCTATCATATACCTGTCATAAACCTATCATATACCTATCATATACAGGTACTTATCATATACCTATCATATACCGGTACTTATCATATACCTATCATATACCTATCATATACCTGTCATATACCTATCATATACCTATCATATACTATCATATAACTATCATTTACCTATCATATACCTATCATATACCTATCATATACCTATCATATAACTATCATAAACCTATCATATACCTATCATATACCTGTCATATACCTATCATATACCTATCATATACCTATCATATAACTATCATATACCTATCGTAAACCTATCATATACCGGTACTTATCCTTAACCTATCATATACCTATCATATACCTGTCATATACCTATCATATACCTATCATATACCTATCATATACCTATCATGTAACTATCATATAACTATCATTTACCTATCATATACCTGTCATATACCTGTCATATACCTATCATACACCTATCATATACCTATCATATAACTATCATATACCTATCGTATACCTATCATATACCGGTACCTACCATATACCTATCGGTTATAAGGGCAGTGACATTATTTCACTTATTTTTGAATAAAAAAAATCACGGAAATAAGCCTTTTGATTTCTTTTGATTTTTTTATGTGATCTATCGGATGTGTCAGTAATTCGAATTATACCAAGAAACCTTGTGTTGCAATAAGTTTGATGTTGGCTGATTTTTTTAAAGCTTGAATGACTGGATTTTAATTATGAGACATGCGATATACTTTTAGTTAGTGAAATATATCCTAACCTAGGCTCAATTGCATTTTCTTTCGAGTCTCATTTTGAGAGGCTAGCGTTTTAAAAATAAATCCCGTCGCCCATAAATAAAACGGGAATTGATTGTCTTCTTGCGCATGTGTAATATATGCACTTACAGGGGTATGATTTTGTTTTTAGCGATGACTTTATGTATTCAATTCTAGACTGCATTTCGTACTGTGAACATATAGTATTTGTTTTTGAGATGTTTAAAAAAGAAAGATTTGCATAATTTTTTGTATTTTGATAGATAATTTTTATCTTCGTTGACTGTTATGGTTTCTCTTCTTTGTACACGATACTACAGCATAATCTTATAAAAGTGAAAATGTTCTAATTGATAAAATGGTTTTAATATTAATATGGTTGCTTTTATATGTGTTATGATAAAATTGTAGAGAGTTGCTGTATGTAATCTACTCTAAACCGTAGACGCCGATATTAGAGTATAGAACTGATGGTTTCTTTATAAGGCTAGATACTTTGAGCTTTCAGAAACTTGAGAAATTTCTTTGATGAAATATAAATTATAAGTGAACGGGTCTTTTAAGTGTTGAAGTGACACGACGGGTGCCACATGTGGAGCAGGATCTGCTTACCCTTCCGGAGCACCTGAGATCACCCCCAGTTTTTGGTGGGGTTCGTGTTGCTTAGTCTTTAGTTTTTTATGTTGTGTCATCTGTACTATTATTTGTCTGTTTGCCTTTTTATTTTTGGCCATGGCGTTGTCAGTTTGTTTTCGATCTATGAGTTTGACTGTCCCTCTGGTATCTTTCGTCCCTCTTTTGTATGAAGTCGGATGATTAGAAGAACAGAAGAGGTATTGATTTGTTGTCTATAATACCGATATGAAGTTAGTGCGTTTTCTAAACTTTAACATATACGTGTATGTTCTATATCCCCTTTGTAATTTCATTGATGGAAATTAAGAAAAAAAGGTTTCGAGTTCTTAAGAGTTCTTAGAAAGCTAGTTAAGATCCGCCAAATCTTAATCTACGTGTCCTAAATCAAGAACATCATTGTTTGTCTTAAGTTATAGCATAGATGTATATTTTTACATAAAGTCTGTAATTTCATAGACAATGTTCATCTGTAATATCTGGTTATAATGAAGGAAGAAAAAAAACGAAAAATATTAGTTGATACTAACAGATCATGATACAACTTTATTTTTATGTTTTATGCATTTTTAATGGTGTTTTTTTTGTCTGTTTACATATACATACGTATCAAAAAGCAACGTGTAAGACAATAAAATTGAGAATGGAAATATATGTTTATTTCAGTGCATTATCTGAAGTATTTTGTTATTGTAGAGTTATGGAAGACGAAACCATACCAAAGAGTGTGGATGATTTGACGAAAAGCTTACTAAAACCAAGGCACAACAGATACCCTAGACTGGTCCTCTCTATCATTGGTGATTCAAGCAGCTTTGTACCCAAACCATGGCTAACACCTGTTTTTCAGTTAGGTTTAATAGAGACAGCTAAAGGAGCTAAAGGTACAAAACATACAAATATCAAATAAGAGAATAACTTATTAATCCATATGGAAGATATAGGTAGGGATGAAGTTTCATAAGAAAACTAATTTATACCAAATATACTAAACCCGTAAATTTTATATTTTAATATACAAATAAAGCCTTTTAATTAGGTCAAAACATGTTTTATAGACCACAGGCAGTATATAGACGATACCACACAAAAGGCTAATTGAAGTATTATTAATTTAGATTTTATTATCATGTATTTGATAAGCCTTAACTTACTTTTCAATAATCATCAGCCAACAATGCTTTGGTTTTTTGTATTTCTGTTATCTTCATTGTTAGTATAAGATTATCGAGATTTCTATGCATTGATATCGTAAAATATCAGCCGGAAGCCACAATTTGGTGCTGTTTTATGATATATACACGCAGAAAACTCAAAAATCTGTTAATCGTGCTAAATCTGATATCCCCCATCTAGACCATTACGAAAGTAGGCTTGTTAACATCTTCTTCCACATTGTGACGTCGCTGATAAGTTCTGCTTACGTCTAAAGGCCGTCATACGAGAATTACAGAAAGACTGAGAAGGGTGATATAGACAAAGGAAAGCACGATAATGTTGAATATGGGCTACATTGCCAGGCACCCTCTGATGCAGCTGCATTTTGTATTCATTCAAGTACATGTAGTACACAAACAGTGACCGGAAAGGGGAATAAAATCAATACAAAATTAAACTTGAAAACTTTTTTCGTGCTATTTCAATTTCCTAATTTTGAACCAAAGCTAAAAAAAAAGCTCGATTCTAATTGGACGAATTTTCTAATTTACCTTTAATCAATATAGGTTAGTCAACTTTTTTTTTCTTCAGAAACTTAAAATTGATAAACATCTATTTTTAATAAGACCCGGTCAAGAAGTACTGTTATAATAGAGACATTCGGTATGAATTGACAAATAATAAAATTTAGCTGAACGCCGTCATCAGATAGAGGCTTCTAGACAAGTTCATCCAGTAATGGTATGCCGATTTTGAAATCTCCAGAAAGGCAGCAAACTACAAGATCTTTAAAACGAAATTAGAATATGGAGAATACTTCAATATTGTTGATTTAAAAACAAATTCTGTTATATTTTGTAAATTAAGAGAAAAAAAAATCACATTAGAACGATGATATAAAATATATAAAGGGATCCCGCCAACCGACTACGTATAGTATGTACTAAAAGACAAGTTCTTGATGAGTATCACTGCATAGTTGAATTCAAGGCTTTTGCCAAAACGAAAAAAAATATCCGTCTAAAGATGGTATACATATTAAATCCGTCGTGTTGCTCATGGTATTCATTAATTGGTGACGTCACAATCGAAGAAAAGTGGAGGCAATTGTGAATACTACTAATTCTAAATGAACAATTTAAAAAGAAATGTTATATTTAAGGAATGGCTTTTAAATAACCCGCTATGCTGGTTATTCAACATGTTCAATGTGCACCACGTTTTTGATGTTATTTCTTCATAGAAAATAAAAATAGTACAGTCATTCCTCATAATTTAATTCTAAATTCCATTTTTAAGGAGTAAATCATAAATAACGTTGATTAGGTCACAGTCACATGACAAAATTATGTCTATGAGCTGATAGACAAAAAACTTTCAGCCAATCAGAATACGTGTTACATCCAAAATTAAATTATACATATATCAAATGCGTTAATACCTTCGTTTATCCTCCTATCTTAGCTGTGTGTTGCTTAAATTACTCCTCTCTTATCACCGTATTTATATTATTTCACTATATAATATGCACTCGTTTTCTTTTTACATTTCTGTTAAACGTGGGTTATATGAGACGAAGGATACATGTATATATATATGACAGCTTTTGAATAATAGGTATAGATAATATTAAAGATATAACAATTTTGTATTTCACAAACTTATGACTAGTCGTCATCAAAAGACAAAGAGTCTATTGCCTGATTCTAGAGTCACTGCTTTGTGAAGCCCTGATTATGTCATTGATTATGAAGCCCTGGTAGCATGCACGTGAATGTCTCAAGTCAGTACACTTTGATAAGGGGTTTTGCTAAATATGTTTCACATATAACTTTATCTCTTTTAGTAAGTGAACAGTGTGAGTCTTAAATTTGTGTAAACATGCTTCTCCTGACAAATTTGCTCTTTTCAGATTGTATAATCATATACAAGGGATCCGCAGAAAAAGTTAGCACTTTGGTTTGGGAGGCAGTGGATGATTTTAGTGTTGTAAACAATCAAAAACACAACTCTCAATCCACCGAAAGTGAGGATAATTTCATTAATCTGATTGGTTTAAGGCCAGGTGAAAACGCCATAGCTGTAAGTAACTTTATTTTAAAAATGTAATGAAAAATAAAAAGATACCAAAGCTATAGTATTATTGATTCATTATATGCGTGTTCGTAATGTTTATGTCTCATCAGTCCTTTGTGCTTCAACCGGATAATTAGAACCGATGTTTTTTTAAGGGCATACTAATATAAAAACATATTTAGCCACAAAAATTCACCTATTCGGCTAGAATACACAAAAACTTGTGTTCAATTTTATATTGACAACTTATAAACATGTAGTCTGGTTATGCAAAAACAGAATTAACTGCTTTTGTTGCAAATAAAACAAGATTAATGATTGTATTGGAAGTTATGTCAGCATTTATCTAATAATGATACTGGAGTGTTTCAAACCACTTTTAATTCTGTAATTTATAACCTGGATCAAATAAACACCAGACTGAAAGGCTTTGTATAAAGATAAAAACATAAAGAGTTCGATCGGCAGCATCAAAACCAAATTTACCTGAATAGAAAAGCAAAAATCATCGACGGTCATCATTAAATTTTCGTTTCTTGATGGAGTTGCAATCTTAAATTAAGTACAATTATTTAATTTATAACTTGAAGATTTGCAGTAAGAGAATTATTCAAATCATGCCAATACTGAACCATTGAATACATGATAGTACATGTGTCCTTAGGGACTGACAGTTCACAAGCAGCGGTACCGACCAAGCGTTAGTATGGTATTAATCATGCTCGAAATCAAAAAGTATAAAACTTTTGGGAATATGAAAAAAGAACCTAAACAGGCAAGCCAAAACATGGCAATTGATAGCTTAAGTAAGAAATGTAAATGCCTTTTTAATCTTTTAGTATGTTTCATCGCTATTTCTTCAATAGCCATCGCAAGGAATGACTTATTTTTCGCGATTTAGAAAGCACGCGCTTAGGAATGTCTATAGGCGTGTCTGTAATTACAGAAAAAAATCAATTGTAATGGCTCAAGGCAAGCACCCATTAGTCAAAGACTGGTGCCTAATTCAGATAGATCAAATGCGTTCTATAAACTCGTCTAATGATATTTACAAATTTATACTGATCGCATATTTTAGATGTTCAATAATGTGACGTATAGTTTTTTCTTGATGTTTTAACGCAGAAAATTTATGTATTTTCACTACTGAATTTGACATGTAAAATGATCAATTATTTATGTGTCAAATTATGTCACTAACGCATGCTTTTTTTTTTAAGTTTCCGCTTTGATGCCTTTAAAAGTGCATGCACTATAATGTTTCCTTAAGAAAATCACTTAACTTATTTTAAGAATAAAAAAATAAATGGTAAATCCGTGGCAGAGAAGTATTATGCAATTGGAGATGTGAAACAAAAGGAATACATACAATACCATGCAGACACCCTAAAAAGCATTGCAAAGCAGTATGTTCCATTCGTTGAGCTTGGGGAGGAATTAAGTAAGTTAACTTCGTTTTCATTGTATTGTGTTTTTTTTTTATTCAAATGTTGTGTACATTCTAAAAGAGGGACGAAAGATACCAGAGGGACAGTCAAACTCATAGATCGAAAACAAACTGACAACGCCATGGCCAAAAATAAAAAGACAAACAGACAAATAATAGTACAGAAGACACAACATAGAAAACTAAAGACTAAGCAACACGAACCTCACCAAAAACTGGGGGTGATCTCAGGTGCTCCGGAAGGGTAAGCAGATCCTGCTCCACATGTGGCACCCGTCGTGTTTAAGGGACACTCTGCTGACATGGTGTCAGTATTATTATCTTGTATTAATTTGAACAGAGGATGAACAGGCATATTAGATCTATTGAATAAAGGACAAAGATGTGAACAACTACAGGTCATTGTACGGCCTTCAATGATTAACAAAATACCGTATACTAAGCGATAAAAGGCCCTAATTATAAACAAATTGTTGTCGTATTCAGTAATCTCAGAATTGCAAAAAACAGTACAATTCATATTAAGGTAGACAGTCGTTCTAAAAAAAGGATCGAATATACCGTTTTTATTTATACACCTACAATTAAATTCTTTAAAAACGTTTATTTTGTAAAGATGTTTTAAAAACAACTTTAATTGCATAATTCATAACAAACTGTATTTTCAGCTATGAAAGTACCCGTTTTGGTTATTGTGGCGGAAGGTGACTTAGATACCTTAGATCACGTGGTTGAAGTACTTAAACGAGATATTCCCGTCTTGATCTTGAAGGGTTCTGGAAAAGCAGCAGATCTCATTGCTGAATGCATGGAAGAGTAAGAATGTCAAAAAATATAACTAAATAAAATTACTCCATTGTATAGAACAAACATAGAACGCAAAGTCTTCATATTTATTCAAATACTATTTTCAAGAAACGTTGGACAAGAGCATGAAGTATATCATATTTCAAATCAAAATATGGTTTTTGAAAATGTTACTTTTAAGACATTTGTTCTAAATTTCACTGCAGCTATCAATCTTAAATGAACAATGACGACTTGGTATACAATAGTAAATTCTGGTCATACCACTGGGAAGCGATTTCTGCTTAAAATTGTACTCAATCACTCGGGTTTTTATTTATTGCATAAAACTAACAAAATATGCATTCAGTCCTATATTTCAGTAAATATGAACTATTTTACATATTGATAGAATATTTATTAAAATAAAAACAAGCATTTATAATTTTTCATATAGTTTACCGAGTATCGATTCTGGAACTGCGTGCTTTTAAATGGTAAACGAATTTCACACAATATGAAAGTCTCTGACAAAACCAAGTGGTACATGATCACATAGATTAAATAAAATGCAGACCTACTGTAAATATATCAAATGTCTTTTTAATTTTCAGATAGAAGTGTGTTTCAGTCGTATAAGCTGTCAAAGTAAAAATATATTTGTCATTTATTATTCAGTGTAGAGTCAATTGAAGCCAAGGCACCCTTATTGTTTGGGATATACTTCCACGAACAAGATTTCGATAAGCTTGCGAATTGTATGAAAGAAATTGAAAAACATAAGCACTTTGTAAGTAATTTAAAAAATTGAAGTTATTAAAAACTGGAATGAAATCTCCCTTCAAGGATACCAGAGTTTGCATGATAGACGTTTCAAACGTATTGCTGTGCACTTTTAACATATCGCCGTATCATACACAACTACAGGCTCATACAAAACAAAATCAAAATCAATCAAGGGTTTGGATCTTTATTTATTCTTTAACTTCACGTTCAGCTACATGTATATATATATGACGTCCTCTAACGAAATAATTTAAATTTTTGTTACTACGTTGAAAGCATCTATCCGACCGAATACAACGGATACAGTTAATATGATAATAAAGAGATGTGGTATGATTGCCAATGACAAACTATCCACCAAAGTTTACTCTGTCTCATATCCTGACTTGCATGTAGGAATTGACAATGAGGGTCGGTTGAGAAAACAAATTTACGACAAAAGAGATCATTTCAGCTTCCCAATCGTGATCTTTTTATTTCTATGTAGCTACATTCCAACACAGCCTGAATATGGAGTATATATCTCCCAGTTGATACGATATTCCAGTGCTTGCATTTCCTATCACGTTTTCCTTGATAGAGGGTTGTTGCATACAGTGTACATCGAAGCTATTAAACCAAGAGTTCAAAGTGTTGAAGTTGAAATCATCTTTTCGAAAATTTTACGGACGACATCACGAGTTGGTTGACCGTTATGGAATATCTGTTTCACAGATGGCGACGGATATGTTCTAATTGTCGTAAATAAAGGCAACAGTAGTATACCGCTGTTCGAAAGTCATAAATCGATTGAAACAAAAACAAATCCGGGTTACAAACTAAAACCGAGGGAAACACATCAACTATAAGAGGAAAACAACGAAACAACAGAAACACTGAAGTGAACAAAAAAAAAACGACAATGCAACACACACAGGAACGAACTATAAGATAACAACCGTCCTCTTTTCCTTGAATGTGACCTGCTGAACTAGATTTATCACCGGGATTGTACTTACATGAGCAACACGACGGGTGCCAAATATGAAGCAGGATCTGTTTACCCTTTTGGAGCACCTGAGATCACCCACGATTTTTGGTGGGGTTCGTCGTCCTTAGTTTTCTATGTTGTAATTTGTAGACTGTTTGTCTTTTATAAATTTTGAAATTATATAGAAACTAAGGTTTCAACTCCCTTAGCCAAATTTGACCCTAGATGGATTTTGCTATTTTGTTTCTTCTAGGACCTTTTGTGTTATATAGCTCTTCAACTGTTTCGTTTGATATACATCCGTGACGTTCAAATATTCGGCTTTGAGCATTCCTGATGAAGGTTAATCCAGAAATGCACTTCGGACGCATGAAATTTATAACGTGTTGTTTTATTTTTTTCCAGCATTGGGTCGATACCTCTGCTGTTGGACTATCAGTCCCCGAGGGTATCATCAGCTCAGTAGTCAGTACTTCGATACTGACATGATTTATAACAAACCTTTCTAAAATTGTCCGTTTATAAATTTTGAGATTATATAGAAACTAAGGTTTCAACTTCCTCAGGCAAAGTTGACCTTAGATGGATTTTGGCTTTTTTAAAGGTCCTTTTTGGTTATATAGCTCTTCAACTGTTTCGGTTCTTATACATCCTTGGATTTCAAATATTCGGCTTCCTAATGAAGGTTAATCCAGGAAAGCGCGTCATGAAATTTAGAACGTGTTTTTTTTTTTTTTATTATTAGTCGTTTTTCGTTTCTCGTATTTTGCAAACTTAATGATTGATTGAACTATACTATTTCATAATGGTAAACAAGGTTGCATTTTCAAATTGTATTCAATTTCTTTGCAGATTAGTCAGCTGTTTCAAAATTAACAGTTTTAAAAGTAAACTGATGAGTTATGAGTAAAAAAAATACAAAAAAAAACCCGAAATGAATTGTACATCCTATAATCAAGGACAAACACAATCTGTCAATTACTTTTCTCCAGACACTGACACGAGAATCCTTCCAAATCACTTCCTTTCACTCATCGCTGAATATCAGTTTACTCCAGTGCCCATTAACAGTTTTGTGTAAATTTGCACAACATTAATTTATCTTGTTGACCTCACGGATACGATTTTTTTCTTTACTGAGCATTTATAGAACCCTTCAGAATGCAATTTACGTTCAATAGTTAAATGGTTTTTTTCTCATTGAAAATATTAGTAATTTTAAAATAAAATTTTACGGCGATGTTTTTTACGGGAAAGTGTCCCATGTCCCGGTCATAAACGAATTTTGGTCTGCCTTATCTCCGAATGTTTTCAATATCACCCTGATGTTCATATCTCTTCAAACAACGGTATGCTGTAAAACAGTTCTCTGTTTGATGACTGTCAACTTGACAATATACATTTTTCTGTAACCTGCATCATTTAATGCACCGAGACGATTTTTTTAATCAGATGACAGTTCTTTTCCCTTGCATCCCATTTTGTTTACATTAGTTACACACAGAGAGAGAGAGAGAGAGAGAGAGAGAGAGAGAGAGAGAGAGAGCAATAATACGAATGCATCAAGGATATGTAGGGTGAATAGAAATGAGACCGCCGCCTAATAGATGATGCAATGACAGCTCTTTGCACACTGTTTGAAATTACTGCGTCCGCCCTTACTATTTAATATATACTAAGGCTATAAATCGCTGTAAATTTGCTTAGATCATTTGATTTTCCGATTGTGTTAGAAACTTTTTGAAATTTTCAATTAAACCATTGGAGTGATAGATAACACATGATTAATGTTATTGAACTTTTAAACCCATGTTGACTTCTAGGTTAACATACTGGATCTTAACAAACACGACGAAACAGAATTTTCAGATGCCGTTGTCAATTCAATAATAAGAGCATGGGCACAAGGTAGAAAGAAAGAAGATGAGAGACCTGTAAAATCTGCTAAACCTAAGTCAAGGAACACTCCATATACAATTAAGACCGCTGCAGATGAAAAATTCGAACTTCTAGGTAAGAATACTCTAGTATTTAAATTTTATCTTTAAATCTTATTGATACTGTATTTCAATTGTCTGTCATCTAAGATGATGTTTGTGTCAATCACTGTTTGCCATTACTAACTGAAGTCGATTGTGACATAACAAAATGATTTCTTCATCGAGTCTGTTCTTACTATGAAAAATCATGTCGGGTGCTAAAAGTGAAGCAGGATCTGATTAGCCTTAAGCTTCCAGAGAACATGTCAATGGAATCACCTTAGGTTTTTGGTTGGGTTCGTGTTGTTCAGTGTCTAGTATTCTATGTAGTGTATTAAAGACTGTTGTTGGTCCTTACTCACAATGGTTTTGTCGGCCTTTCTCCGACATATGAGCTTTGATTGTTCCTTTGGTATCTTCCGACTCTTTTTAAATGTCTCTCCCTTGTTAACTCGAAAATCTCTTTCTCCTAAAACGAGGAGGTTTTAACATAGGTTGCACATAGGGTTTTGTTTCTTGTGTTCTCATTTAATAATAAACATGGTTTCTTTTGGTTGAACGGCTACCAATTTGAAAGAAAACAATTAATGGGTAGAACTTATAACAAGGTATTATCATAGTACCAATCGGCTAATCAATGTTACTTCTGATGGCGGGACATCGTTTTTCCTTTGGCATTATGAGAAAAAATATAACGTTAAACAACTTTTCTTGAGACATGGTTTAACGTTCCTCGTGAGGTACTTTAAGAAGTTGCGATATTGTTACCATAGGAGACTAAGGTTTACATTGGAGAGTATGGCTTAGTTATTTAGATTATTTTACACCGCAGAAGTCTCAATATCATTCCTTTACTAACATTAGTTTTCCAGTGGAAATAACATAAAACAGTTATCGTATTCCTTTTGTAGATCAAGAAATAGCATACACAGAATCTGAACATATGACAGTTCCTACAGTTGCAACTCCGAATGATTACGCAGGTAAAAAGAGTAACTGGAATAAATTAAATGGTGTACATCCGGTATCTACGTATACGGTTACGAGGAACAACATGAATGTTACTGGAGAAGTGAAAGAATTCATGAAACGTTATCAAAAATCCCTTACTCCAGCCTCTCTTCCATTATACTTCTACATTGCTTACCAGTTTATTCAAGAGATGTCTGCCAGTAACAAAGATGTAAAAACACAGGCAAGTTTTGTTAAAACATAATATCTATCATATGTCCATGTTTTGACATGGGAAACCCAAAAAGGTAAATTCTTCAACAATTTGTAATTGCTGCAACTATGATTAAGTCTATGCCATAATTGTAACCCAAACGTGATCATTTCAGTTCTATATGATGAATGAATTTTCCTTATTGGGTAGAAAAATACTCATATAACCTGTGTTTGGTGTATATACATCACAGTTGGTTTGCTTTTCAAGATATGTTGCCCCTTGAATGATCACAAACATTGTAAAATACACCGCTCAGGAATGTTATATGTAGCCTTAACTGAGACCATTGCTATAAAAGTGTTAAGGTCACCCCCACAAATTGGTCTATCTTTATTAGATAAGAGGTTCACAACTCATTGCAAACGAACTTTTCTAGATGGTTAAATAAGCAAAATGTTTACCGTTGCAAACTATTTTTGATTTTGATTTAGCACTGACCATTAAGCAATGCAACTCATGTGGAGCAGGGTTCGTTTTGAACATTATCCTTCTCGAGTACCTGATTACATATTCTGATTTGCTGGGAGTTTATATTGCCCCGAGATTTAGGTTTTAGGATTGGTCGTTTGCATCGGTATACTTATCACGTTGCTTTCGTTTTTTCTTTCGTGTGTTATCCTCCTTGGTTTGATTTAAGATTGCACTTAAACTTACTTGTATCTCCAGTACTAGTATATTCTACCTTACATTTTTGTATGCTAGTTGACAAAATTAGGACTTTGGAAAACATGGTCTCTTTAATGTATAAACTTTAATAAAAATAAATGTATGCTCATCCTGCTGATGTGTATAAATGTGTATTTATAAAATTGCTTTGTGTCTTTAACAGAACTTTGAAATTCTTCTGAAACAAGCTATAATAGCTGACAGAGTTGACTATGTTAAGGTTCTACTACAAGAGGAGAAAGTAGAATTCGACAGAAAACAGTTTCCAGATATTTATCGCCAGGTAGTTATGCCTACTTTAAAAATAGCACGTTCTTTGGATGGAAACTTTTCAAATGAGTTGGAAAATCAAATTATTTCCATGCACAGACGAACCAGAATCTCGTCTTTAATTTACAAAAGTAATGATGTCCCCATCGGGATACCAATTACCAGACGATATGTTCTTTTTATGTCTAATTAGTGCATTTGTGCATTTATAAGCTTGATTTTTTAAAAGGCAATTGCATAAACTACAAGAGATACAGTTACTCCCAGATTTATTTAAAGACAATTTTTTAAACAGAAAAATTCGGCTGGATAAGATTAGATGGAAGTGTAGTTTACAGAACAGATAAAATCTTAACTATCAACTTAGAAAAGGACATTCTTTATCAAGGCTTCCACAGAGTTTTACTCAAAATGATATTATCATCTAATCTCTATAATGTTTTTACATGTAAAACCAATTATGAAAAGATTTTTAACGCATGGAATAATGCAAAACTAAATTCAAAGATTGCATAAAATTTTCGTTACATTGTGGAAACCTCAGTAAGGCAGACGTTACATATTTGGCGAAAAGTTGAATTATTTTAATTTGTCTATAAATCATACAATGTTTGAAAAATGCTATGAATTCATGAAATATAATACCTATGAATTAAAAAAAAAAATCTACGATACGAAATTCAAAAATAAATACCCAGTTACTTCCGTTCCTGTTGCCAATTATTTTCATTCTTCAACACATTTCAACAGACTATCAAATGTGAGTGTAGTAGTAGAGATGGCGAAGGTGACTGTCAACACATCTGGTCAATACTTATGGTAAGTAATGTATACTAACGAATTATTTTCAACCTACTAGTAAATACATTTAGATAGAACATAAATGACATTTGAACATATATAATATGATTAAGATTACATTCTAAGCTGAAGGGTTGTATTCTATCGATGCATACTTGTTTTCTTTGTCAATTTCATAATAGAGTCTAATTATAATGAAGGAGTAAATTTACTAATACATAAGAAGGTATAAAAACGAAAGTACGAGTATTCAAACATTTGGGTTATAAAGTCTGTTATGGTTCTGTAAGGTCAATAAAGATGGTTGGTCCCTCAAACAGTGTGCAGAACAATCGCTTTGAGGAGACTTCACAAAATTAATTTCGACAACATAAGAAAGCAGATGTATCAGAAAGCACTCTTTTCAGACGTCAAAAAGCAATGCGAAACGTACTTTCACTTTCCATATATAACAAAGAAAGTATTATCAAGAGTGTATTTTAAAAAACATAAAGCATGGTTTGTTACTTATCCAAAATTGAGAAAAGGTCAATAATTTACATGTTTGACAAGGATATAAACAACTACAGGTCATCGGGCGGACTTCAACCAAAAGTAAATATCCCTCCGCATTTATAGGTTTCATAACACGTGTGAATTGGAGATCGCTTGATATATTTTTAAAAAAATCACACTCAGTGCAGTGTGATACGAGAAATATCTTTTCATTCAGAAATGAAACCACACAGACTTTACCCCCAAAGTCTTGTTCCTGTATGGTTATAAACAATGTGTATTGTTTGTCACTGAAAATACACCATCATCTAACAAAACATGAACGATCAGTTTCCTATTATTCTGATGTTACAACAATGCAAAGAAAAAAACTTTTAACTTTTTAAATGCTTTATTTGTGTTTATATGGTGTAAAAGTGTTACTTGATAAATGCATGGTATAGTAATTGTTTTACAACCCGGGGGAACGTTTACATTTTGTCAGAACTGTATTGATCTTTCATAATAACCATACAATGACATACATGTAGTTCTACAAAGCTTAAAATTTGACGTAGCTCTAATAGGCTGAAAAAGTTTGAAAATAGGGTCAAAATCGCATTTTTGGATTCAACTAAAAAAGTCTACAAAATATGTGAAAATAAACTTTGCTCGTGGATTCCAAGACCATGGGACATGTAATATATGTGCCCTTTCTCTCTGAATTTGTTGCTATTATTATTTTCATGTTTTAAGTATCTTAGACATAACAATTTTTTTATATTTTTTTGAAATTTAATTAATCTGTTATAGGGCTCATCTAGTTCTGTTACGGAACAACTGCTAGAAAACAAAGAAAAAGAAGAAGAGGCAAAATGTCGGACTTGTAGACAGGCAGGCAGGCAACTATGTCAACAGTTTTTACATTACCCTAAAAGTATGTATTCAATTTTAATTCAGTTTGTCCTGTAAAAGCAATATAAGACTTTGAAGTGAATAATCATATATAGAATTGCTCAGATTATCGTATAATTTATATGTTTTATTTAAATCAACAAAAAAATAAAAAATACAATTAAAATTCTAAAACAGATGTTTAAATAAAAGTCAAGCTTATGAAAAAAACTTCTGAAACAGATTTTTTTAATCTAAAAATAGAATTAAGTACTGCAAAAACACCTTACCGTTATTTTATAAAGAGTAGATACACGTGTATTACAAATATTTATCGGTATGGTTTGAATTATTGTTTTAGGGGGTAGTTAAATGTATATAGTGAACGTATTATACCGGTTTCAGTGAACTCGACACGTGTTACTGATATAACCTTTATTGTTGAAGGCCGTACGGTGACCTATAGTTGTTAACTTCTATATCATTTGGTCTCTGGTGGAGAGTTAGTTATCTCATTGGCAATCATACCACATCTTCTTGTTTTTATATTCATGATTATGCACGTTTGAGATTAAAGTAAGGAAAAGAGACTCAGTATCATAATTTTTCTTATTATATATTTCATCTGCTTCAGATTAAAAATATAAATGTTCAGATCTTTAATTTTGATTCATTTTTTTTGGATACAAGAATCATACAATAACGAAGACATAAAGAATGAAAGGAAAGATATTTACCAAGACCTTCTGATCTGGTCCTTGTTTGCTAACAGACAGGAACTAGCGACGCTATTCTGGGTGAAATGTGAAAATCAATTACGTAAGGACGTTTTCATTTTCTAAGTAAGAAAGAATAAGTACTCAAATCTTTATACAAATATTGTTCCGGCGAAAAGCCATCAACTATTTTTACCAGTGGGATATTTTTTAAAGAGATAGCCTTTGTTACATAAACAATCTACATTACATAATATTACTAAAGTTTTACTATAATTGTAAATCTCCTCTCTGTGACAAAGTTGCATTGGATGGATAAAAAGGTAAAGAAATAAGATAACAAGGGGGGTTCTTAAAAACCATTTTGAAAAAGACAAAGTAACTTTATGGACAAAAGAAAAAAGAGAGTCGATAAAACTTTCAATACAAAACTGAAGATAAAGCAACACGAACAATTGAGAAAACCGGATGTGAACTTTCCATTAGTGGCAATCCTAGTTTTTAGAGAGTGATCTAAAATCCTTGTGAAAAGTCTAATTTATGGAGAATCCTATACGAGTAATTAAAAACGAAGTTGTGGACACGACAAAAGGAATTTATTGCGGGCATCTGTAACATAAATATTTGATTATCAATCTTTAATGATGGCGTCCTTAAACTGTGACAGATATGACTTTTAAATTTACCTTTAAGTTTCCTCGTAAGTAGCAATCCTCTACCAAGGATAGCCTTACATATATCCTTCGTATTAAAGATGTGTGTAGGGAGTTAATGAGTATATGTTAACGAGACAGCAAATAAACTGGACATTTCACAGATCATGTTATCTAGTAAGATAGTACAAAATTGAAGAAAAAAATCCGGTTTAAAATTAATTCAGAAAATTGTGATTTAAACTAAAAAAATCATGTATTAAACTCATATTGGTTTTTCTAAATTTGTAGTAACGGCAATATTGGCAAGCTGTGTATTAAAAAAAATGGCTGCACGAGCAAAGAGTGGAAAAGATCAGTTCTTGTACGATGTAATTAAAGAACATTCAAGGTAAATAGCATACTATGTATATAGCAGGGATTATTGAAGATCCATTTGAAATTCGTGGGTTAAAGTAAATAACAAAGTACAAATTTTCTATAGTAATATTTCAGAATTATCCAAAAACTCAAGATCCAATATCCAGGAAAATACACACAATGTTTCCTCGATCCACGACCTACCTATTGTATTTTGTCCATTTGAATTATTAAATACATTTTTCAGGCGATCGTGAATGCCCCACCTCCTCAAAACAAAAACAAGAACAAAAACTTAAACAAAAAATCCAATAACCCATAAATTATGTTATGCATGATTTGCAACTTTAAATATGTTTTGCCAAAGACAGTTTCAAATATTGTTTTTATATGATATAGAATTTTCGAAAAACGAGCTTTAGACTTACAAACAAAACTTTACGCTGAAGACTCTGAAGTGGCGATGGATTTGATGTTAACAGAACAAAAAGTCTGGGACATCAAAGTCAGCCCATTAGAATGTGCATTTGACAACGCAATGCTGGATTTTATTGCACATACCTGTGCACAGAGACGTCTGAACAAAATATGGTACAAACAGATCGGAGCAAGTCTTGGTGATTTTTGGAAGGTTAGTCTTTTCAATATATACTTAGTTTATATTTTGACATCTTTGTGTCAATATACATAATTTATATTCATCATATAGACATATTGATACTATTAAATATTATCAAAGTACACAGCTAAATTGCATCTGTACATATTGTATTATATCTTTTTAAGTCCCTTTTACGTAATAAAACCTCATAAAGTCAGCTTTTTTGTTATCATAAGCATTTACATTACAAATACAGACCAAAGATCGCAATTTTAATTTTGTAAAAGCTTAACATATGTTTATCGAGAATGTGATTTGATTTTGTACAATTTAATCTACCAGGTATATTATACCGGGGTATGTTTTAAATGTATAACACATGTGTTTTCATAATTATGTCATGCTATCAATGTCAATTTTAATGATATCTTCTCTCTACTTTCGGTTTCTCCTAGACTTATGAGATTTGGTTCTCCCATTGATATCATCATCCTCTTTTAATCCCGTCTAAAGTTGGTATTGTAAACTACCTTTTTAATTGTTTTGAAATTCAAGGTTTAGATTTTATCCTTGTGGCCATGTTGTCACAGGAGGCCTTCACATAGTCAGAACTGATATGAAATATAACCTACACATCGTAAACCTTTTTATCGTAAGCGAATAGAGTGTCGTTTTGTTTGACAAATATGGAACGCCACAGCTGTCTTATGTGGTACTCTGATATTACGTTATGTTGTAGTATTATCTATACTACATATGCCTATAAAGAAAACAACACAAACGCAAATATCAGTTTGCCGACAGCCCGCCGTATTTGATGGACGCCGGATGTAATTTTATAATAACAAATACAATATTGTTTCTATTAAACAACAAATAACAAACATGTTGTAATTCAATTCTTCTATACATTATAAATGAACATTCTCTCTTAAATCTTTCCAAAGTATTTCCCTCACGGATAGTCGAGGCCGTCCAGGAAAAACCATATTTTGTTAAGTGGAAAATTGTATCCGACGACAATGCACAAGCCTATCTCAGGAAAAAGGTAGTCGGACCTCACCTTCTATAACGAGAGAGATGACGAAAAAACAAAACTTCTTGAAATGAATACATATATACATATATATATATATATATATGACTTAAGTTTAAGTCATGCACGTACGAACGGCGGCTAGAAAGTGACAAACAAATCAAACATACCTACATACCCGGATCTAAATCAACCCCTCTGATTGGACCATACGCATATTACCCATAACGTCAATACAATATTTTCCCGCTTCACTTCGAACCGCGAGAAAATATTAGTATTATCTATACTACATATGCCTATAAAGAAAACAACACAAACGCAAATATCAGTTTGCCGACAGCCCGCCGTATTTGATAGAAATTACACAAAGAACGGGGGCCAGAATAAATAAGAGCTAAACAAATATCATAAACCCAATTCCTTCGAGACCTGTAAACGTTTCTCTGTGGAGTCAACAATGTAACGATCTTTGCTAGAGTCTGACTTCCACCGGCCGTGTTTTTTCAAACACCTCTCGTTCACGTTTGCATTTGCAGCAGCCGTTGCACCACCGGCTCTGAAAGAATGTAGGCCTATATTACAATTTGGTGAAACTAACCTAACTCTACCTAATAAAGCCTCCCTAGCCGCCGTATAGCTTAGCTTTTTATCTTTATCTATAAGTTTACAATTTTTGCCCGATCTGCAAATCTGCCTAAATAAATATTTATTGGAGTCAAAATCGAAATTGGCCAATTCAAAATATCTTATGAACATAACGTATGGACAAGCTATGGATAAACCTTTCGAAATGAGAATTTCGTTTCCTTGACGATACTGATCGGTTTTACTTTTGTTAATATACAAAATCAAATAATTGTCATGTATAACGACATCTTTAAATCTTAACGAACTAATTTCATCATAGCTCAGAAAACCAGAAAACTTAGTAATATCATTGTCAAATCCCTAATAATGAGTAAATCATCTGAATATTTAAAGTGCGTACATAGTTCAATTAATATCTCTGCTGAAACCGGATCTTTTTTGTTGGAGGTTTTAGTTGTGGTTCGTTTGGAAGCTTCAACTATGGAAGTAACGAAAGAGTTTATAGTAGGATCTGGTAACCCACTCACTTCATGGGCCCATTTTATACCGTATAAAGCATTGGAAACGGGATGACTAGTAGATCCATTGTTCAATAAATTTGTCAAATATAAAGCAACGTGTAGCGGTTGTGCAGGTAAAGCATCTTGTCCATGTTCTGTAATGAATTTTTCCCACCTTCTAAAAGCGTAGAAATACGACTTGACTGTATTGTCACTTTTACTGTTCAATAATAACTCGCACATCTTCGGATATAGACTATACAAATGGCTTCCTGTTTCTACTCCACTGTCCTCTATTGCGACTTTTACATGACGATCTAAACTGATGCCTGTTAAGAAAATGAAAATTATAAGTATCTATGTTTTTCATTTAATATTTAGAGCAACTAATCTGAATTTTAAGAACTGCGAGCCAAATATACCGTTTTGATCCCTTCCTCGTTTAGTGAGGCTCTCACCTTGAAAAAACCTGTAGTCTCTTATGAAAGATTTAAAATGACCTACTTGGTCAACTAACATTGGCCAATAAGCGGCAGATGTCCACTCAGAAACAATCAAAGTATGACTACCTTTATCCTGTATCATTTTGTTAATGGTCTGTGGGACCAAACGAGGTGGTGGAACTAACCAATTATTCTCGCCATCCCATGACACAGAAAAAGCATTAATGCCTGATGTACCTGTGCACCAGAATTTCGAATTGAATTTGTTGCATTTTGCATTGTAATCCTGTGCAAAGCGATCAAAAGTATATGGACCCCATAACTTATTCAGATACGTAAAAATCCAATCGTCGATTTCCCAATCATCACAATCTGATTTTCTACTTAGACTGTCTGCTTTATCGTTATGCTCGCGTGGTATCCATACTAAATTTAGTTTGATCTTGTTCTCTTGACAAATTTCATGAACAGACATAACGCTTCTGTGTAATTCTTTTTTCTTACTACCGACTTTCATAATGTGTGGTACATTTTTATTGTCTGTGTAAACTCTAATTGTCATACCATGCAATTTGATCACTTAAGATTTCTTAAAACCCTTTTTACTGATTCAAGTTCTCTCCATGTAGAGCTTTTTACTTTTTCAGTGGAAGACCAACTTCCGTATATCTCTATCGGTTCGTCCTCTGAACCTGTGGTCAAATGACCCCCGAAACCTGTTTCTGAAGCGTCACAAAAGACGTGATAGTCTTGAACTTCATTGTGTGTCAACTGACATAACTGAGATCCTATCTCATTTATTTTTTCTATATTATCTAACCAAAACCTGCATTCATTTACAGCTTCGAGACTAAACATCACGCTGGAATTCCAGCATTCTCTTGTAAGTATGCAATCATACATAAATCTAGATCTTAAACGTGCAAGATCCCCTGAAACAGCCTGAGTTGAGATGATCAGTCCAACAACACAAGCAAGTGACCTTACTTTGAAATATTTCATTCCCTTTTCATATTGCTGTAACAGATCACTCAAAGCGCTTTTTAACTTGTTCAATCTTTTATTAGTGACTTTCAGTACACCCTCTTCCAAACACCAACAAAAACCTAACCACTCCAGTTTTTGTACTGGAGACCAACTACACTTTTCATGTGCTATTTCGAAACCAAAATGATTTAAATCATTCCTAATCGCATCACTAGCGGTTAATGCCTCCGAATAAGAAGAACCTCCCCCATAATCCATCGTCTAAATACATAACTATTTTTAACCCTTTACTTCTCCAGTGTTTTACGACTTCCCGAACTACTTTACTGAAAATATAACCACTTGTTGCCAAGCCAAATGGTAACACGTTGTAAACGTAAAATTCATCCCCCCATTTGAAACCAAGGTATGTAGTGTCGAAATGTGAAATTCTTATATGATGATATGCACTTTTCAAATCGTATGAAAAAATGTAATCTCCTTTGTTAAACATTTTTCTAGCTGTGACCGCGTCTTCGTATTTGTGACGAAATTTAAATAAATGTGGATTTATATGTCTGGCGTCTAATACCAATCTTAGTTTTGACCCATTGTTAGCTACTGTTAGAGGGTTTATAACATGAGGTTGTTCTTTTACTCTGCTTATGCACCCTTTTTTCAACAACTTTTCGATTTCTTCCGCAACAAAAATCTTATTGTTGCACGCCGACTTATTATTTTCTAATACTACACTCTCTGGAATTGTTAAAAACGGAATCACATACCCGTTTTGTATAACATTAATAACGTGTTCGTTAGCACCTATCTTTGTCCAGTTATTGACATTTTCTAATAAGCTACCTACAGGTGATATACCTGAGTGAACATGATTACTATTAATCGTAGTATGTGTATTGCTAAGGAATGTTGTGTTGCGTAACGTTTGTTTTGAATACGAAGGTGTACTCGGACTACTACTAACGTTACATAAAAACATATTAGTACTTATCTTGTTTGTATGCTGCACCGTAGCATGAGGACACTCTCTCCTCCAATGACCAGTTTCACTACAATTGAAACATCTTCCAGGGCGAAACATCTTGTTTGTATTAACTGGAATCGGATTCTCTGGAGCCAGTTGTTTAGTCTTATAAGGTGTTGGCCTTGGATCGGTCTTGCGTTTAGCCTTCTCTTTCTTTATCTTGGAATCGGCTCTACTTTGTGCCTTGTATATTCTTTTTTCATCTTCGGAATCTTCTGCCAAAGGATTTGTAGTATATTCGTCGACAACACGCCATCCTGCGTCTGAAGAATCTGCTAACTTTATGAGCTTTTGCCTTGACTTTATCACATTTCCATATCTTCGTAAATCTTTCTTTTTGCGGTTTGGATGTTTTCGTTGTTCAAATTTTCTGATTCTAACTGGCTGTTAGCTTCGAGAACCTTCACAAAAACCTTCTTGTTGTGTTTATACTGTTCTTCATTGCCCCTTTTACGGAACTTAAAGGTCTCTGTCATGATCTCGTCGATTTTGGCCAACTGTGACTCGGACAATGCCTTCTGGCTATCCTGGATGTTTTGCTGGAAACCATTTAATCGTGTGTCGAGCAGAGAAGTAAAGCTGTTCAATAGTTTATCTTGAGTTTCTAGTATGGCACTTTGTACTTCGGCCTGGATTATTTCTCTGATGTCGGCGTCCATTTTAAGTCATGCACGTACGAACGGCGGCTAGAAAGTGACAAACAAATCAAACATACCTACATACCCGGATCTAAATCAACCCCTCTGATTGGACCATACGCATATTACCCATAACGTCAATACAATATTTTCCCGCTTTACTTCGAACCGCGAGAAAATATTATTATTATTACTTGATGATATTTTGTCTTTACATAATCTGGTTTTGACATTACGTAATGATGTTTTGATATTACTTAATATGGAATAGTCATTACTTAATGATATTCCGATATTACATGATATGGTTTCGTCTTGACTTTATATGGTTTTTTCATTACTTAATATTGTTTTGTCATAACTCGAAGTGGTTTCATCATTATTTAATGTGGTTGTGTTATTAGGCAATGTTGTTTTAACATTACTTGATGTGTATGTGGCTTAACGTAATGTAGTTGTTTCATTACATGATGTGGTTTTGTTATTTCGTAATGATGATTTGCCAATTCCTTATATGGCTTTAAAATTACATAATGATGTTTCAAAATTTGACGATAATACACTACATGATGTGTTCGTTCCAGTATTTGATGTGGTCCTGTAATTTTTTGATGTGGTTATCACATTACTTGATGAAGTAAAACCACGTGACTATTTGGGAAAAACTAGTTCTATTTTTAAAACCGATTTCCATGTTTTATTTGCCTCGGATGAGTGTGGCAATCCATCGAGTTAGAGTAAAATTAAAATTCGGGTTACTGTTCGAATTAAACTTCGAGTTAGTCTTCGATTTAAACTTCGAGTAATTTTCGATTTCGAGTTAGAATTCAAGCCATAATTAGAATTAAATTCGAGTTAGCTTTGAGTTTCGAGTTGAACTTCGAGTTTGAGTTACCTTTTGAGGAAGAGTTCGAGTTAGACTTCGAATTTGAGTCTCATTTAGATTAAGATTTCGAGTTGAAAATGGAGTTATCTAATATGAGTTCATATTTAAATTTTCTATCGTCGATCAAGGGCTTTTGCTAGGGCTTCCGAAAAAAGGGTTAAGGGGTATGCGTACAAAAGATAAACAATGTTACAGTATACAAAACACCACATAGAAATCGAAATAAAGTTAGATGTGGTGTGATTGTCATTGAGACAACTATCCACCAGAGTTTAAATACAGTGGGTGTAAGCAATTATAGGCACCCGTAACTAATAACTAAACAACTTACGAAAAACAAATATGACACACATGAAACAACGACAACAATTGAATTACAGGCTCCTGACTTGGGACAGGGACATAAAGAATGTGCACATGGCGGAGTTAAACATGTCTGTGAGCGCTAAACCCTAACCCTACCATGAGTGAATAGTGTAACAGCACAACACAAGAATAAACTGTAATAAACAGCTGCGCCATGAGCGCATGATACGCCCGTCGCTTTTTCAAAGAATAAAGTTCAATAATTTCTCAATGTTATATCAGAAATTTATAAAAAACTAAAGGGAAGTTATCTTGAAAGATATAAACCAGTCACCAAAGCACTTTGAAGATATTGTCCGAAAACTGGAAAATCACCCATTTTTTATGAATAAAACCCAATAACTCGGAAACGTAAAATCTAAAATTTATAAAAAAACGAAAGGGAATTCACGTCAATAGATATAAACACTTCACCAAAGTTTCATGTAAATAAGTTAAAGCGTTTTTGAGTTGTTGTTCGACATGTTGACGACGGACGGAAAGACGCACAGACGGACAGACAGACGGACGGACAGACGGACGGACGGACAACGGTATACCATAATACGTCCCGTAAACGTGCTTATAAAAATCAAATGCAATTGGCTTAACTCTATAGATCGGTATAACTAGGCAATATAAATTCATCAAAATCCTGGGGTGATCTCGGGTGCTCCGGAAGAGTTACCAGATGCTGCTCAACGTGTGACACCCGTCGTTTTATTCGTGAAAGTACAAACCTAGTGATTTGGTCTAATTCGGTAGGTCACATTCGAGAAAAAGAGGACGGGATTGTGGTTTCGACAACTGGAACATATCCGTCGTCACCTGTGAAACAGATATTCCAAAAAGTTTAGCTTTTTTTTACTAGTGCGAGGTATATCAGAGAATGGAATTTATAAAAAATATTTATTAAAAGATTGACATTCGTATATGTTCGCTAAAAAAATTTCGGAGAATTCTTATTTTATAGAATTGATGCTTTGTCGCTTAGTCCGATACCCCTATTTCCCTGTAACTTTAGTGTGAGTTGATTTAAAGTGTCTCATTTGTTGACAATAAAGTACAAGTCATTTGATGTGTGTCCAGCCTGCGATATTAATGTCGCGGAAGTGAGACACAACAAACCTATATTCCGTCGTCGGCGTCTTCATCATTTAGATCGTTAGGTTACTCGTTTTAATTTTTTTTTACATTTGTCATTTCTGGACCTGTTATAGCTAACTATGCGGTATGGGTTTTGCTTATTGTTGAAGACCATACAGTGACATATAGTTGTTAACTGCTACGTAATTTGGTATGTGGTGGAGAGTTGTCTCATTGGCAATCATACCACATCTTCTTATTTTTATATAAGTTTTATTTGCTTTAAATATTACCAAATTAAATTATTTTGTCATGATAAATTTTCAAACCTCCATGAAGTGTTATAAAACTTGTATAGGAGTTAATCTTCTTTATCGAGATAAAGCATGTACAGAAAAACAATTTTTTTAATTTTGTTTTTTTACCGATAAATGGACGTTTTACAGTCAACATTACACTTTTACAATGACAGCAGCAATCTCAGGCGAGTGAGTTCTTCACGAATTTAATGTAATACTGCCTCCATTTGAGAACTAAGGGAAAAAAACGGCAGGACCAAGTGGTTTGGGGATACCCCCCTTATGTCCGAAATATTGATTTTTTTTGTACTTTATTTTCTGATTTTTGTCTGCCGTTTCCCTTTTTCTTCCAAATAACTCTGAACAACAACTTGAACTTTAATTTGAACTTGAACTCAATAGATAGCGACACTTATCCGAAGCACATTAAACAAACGACATATGGAAATCGGGCTAAAAATAGAACTATTTTTTCCAAAATGGTCACGTGGCTTTACCTCATCAAGTAATGTGATAACCACATCAAAAAATGACAGGACCACATCAAATACAGGAACAAACACATCATGTTGTGTAAAATCGTCAAATTTTGAACCATCATTATATAATGTTAAAGCCATATGAAGAATTGGCAAATCATCATTACGAAATAACAAAACCACATCATGTAATGAAACAAATACATAACGTTAAGACACATACACATCAAGTAATGTTAAAACCACATTGCCTAATGACACAACCACATTAAATAATGATGAAATCACATCGAGTTATGACAAAACCATATTAAGTAATGAAAAAAACCATATCAAGTCAAGACAAAACCATATCACGTAAAATCGAAATATCATTAAGTAATGACGATTCCATATTGAGTTATATTAAAACATCATTACGTAATGTCAAAACCATATTATGTAAAGACAAAATATCATCAAGTAATAATAAAACAACATAACGTAATATCAGAGTACCACATAAGACAGCTGTGGCGTTCCATAGACAAACTTTCTTTGTTTCATTCTCCATTGGTTCCGATTTGGGCCGATTAAGAGCTACAAACATGGAAAGGACACTTTTTTGTTGCTTTAAACAGTTCATATTTTTATTTCTATCTTGTTTGGTTGGTGGTTTATTGGCGTTCACCCCACATAACCGTTTATGTTAAAATGCAATGCTTAAAAATGAACCAAAAACAGTGATATGCATCTAACACAGAAGCGGCTTGTGTTATATTTAGTAAAATTTTATTTTTTCAGAAAGGTTTCCTGTATGGATGTCGTAGAAATGGTAACGGTAATTTACGACTTTGCCGATTTTTTTATGCACCACTGACTCGTTTTCTTGTGCATTATGTAAGTATTTCTGGAAGCAGATAGTTAAAAAAATTTTAAAAGATTTGAAAAATAAAAATATCTGTACAATGAAGAACAGCAATAAAAGCGTTGTTTCTTTGCTTTTAGTGTGTTTTTTTTTTTGCTGTGCATGTACTGATTTTGTGTCATGGATGGACACCCCATATCCTTTGTTTTTTCTATTATAAAATTGAGCATTGGCAACATGTAACAAAATAAATTTTAGAAAAGTGTGTTTCGTCTGCACAGTCTATCTAAACGGTCAATTTCAACAGCCAAGAGACAATTCATAATCATAATAATAGTATTGTCAAGTCGGAGAATCGTGTAGATTTATATAATTCTGTATGCTTCTAGATAATATTCCTCGCTGCAATGGTATGCTACAGTGCCTTCCTGTTGATAGAACTGTCACGATATGTAAATTTACAGTCGATCAAGGTTTACGAGTGGCTGATTTATGCATGGTTCATTGGGGACATTTTTGAGGAATATAGAGGAGTGAGTTTAATATAGTATGTAGATATATAGTCGCCGCTAATGTATAAATGGCCAATGATTGTTTCAGCATATGCCTTAAAGTTCGTTTTATTTGTCATTCACTCGTCTGTTTAAAAATGTTTATACATGTAAGCTGTTCTTTACATAAACATGAGGAGATGTGGTATGATTTCCAATTAGACAAATACTCACCAGGGTTTAAAATATGTGGATATAAAGAATCATAGTCCACCGTACGGCTTTCAACAATGCGAAAAGCTTAGACTGTATTGTCAGCTATAAAAAAAAACAACAGGAAAAATGTGCAACAATGCAAGCAAGAAAACTAATTGCCTAATTTATAACAATATTATGTACGAAAAATAAATACGTCAGACATGAATCAACGACAACCACTGAATTACAGGCTGCTTACTTGGTACCGGTACATAAAGAATGTGGCGTAATTAATCATGTTTGTGAGCGCTAATTCCTTCCCTTACCTGGGACAGTGGTGAAACAATACAACATAAGAACAAATTTGTAAAAATCAGTTGCAAATGGCTTAAATCAATAGATCGGTACGAAGCACACAAAAAAAACTACTAACATAAAAACGATAGACAAAAAGCACCGATATAAGAGAACTCGCAGTTACTGAAAGCTTGTTCAAAGCCAATACAACTAATAAATAAATCAAGTTCTCCCAAACTAAAGCATTGTACATCTATAGCAATATATATTTAGTTGTGTTTAAATTTCTCTGAAACAAAATCAATGTTAGTACCGATACAAACAATATTTAAAAATTTACTGCGGTGTTAAATTGATTACTGTTTTAATAAGTTTATTCAAAGGATCAAGGAGTTTACATGGATCGTATTTAAATTTACGGACTCTATAAACAGCATCATCGTGAAAATTAAGTTGAGAAAAGTTACAGAGTACAATAATGGCCATGAATTACTTTCACTGAAATCTTTATAAACTACTTTTAGGTTTTAATAGTAAAAATACTTCTTTTCATATCGCTTTTGAAATTCAATTTCAGATTTTACCTTGGAACAATGACATTATTAAAAGCAGATTTTCAAAAGACGAAAAGAACGAAAAAGCCTTAAGCCAGTCGGTCAAATACAGAATTACAAGATATTTTTATGATTTCTGGAATTCGCTTGATTTTATATCGTATTGTATTACAATAACAGCTGTGTTTGTAAGATTTTTATATCAGAGTACAACAGAAACGAGCGTTCTTGCAAGACGATTTTATAGCCTTAGTTTGTTTACCATGTATATGAGATTTCTCCATGCACTTCTGATGTCAAGAAAACTTGGACCCAAGATTATTATGATTAAGGAAATGGCAAGTATCTATAGTAAACATCAATGATATGTCATACTTTATGTTACAGAGATGAACTCAATTGATTTTATAAGCTTCCCTGTTAATATTACCTACCAAAAATTAAGATCGTAAGACTGATCTTGCTGATTTTAAACGTAGAAAACCAAAGACTGAGCAACATCAAAAGCCGGGGGGATATGAGGTGCTCCTGAAGGTTAAGCAGATCGTGTAATAATAGGTTGGTAGGTTGGTAAAGAGCCATTTTTTGGCCGCAACTATTAAGTCCATTATTTCAAAACGAGTGGTAGTACAAATTAATTCATTAGCATGTGAGAAATTGAAATCTAACAATTCAAACTAGAATCTTTGAAAAACGTGATGTTTTCAAATTTACAATTGTCAACTTCCAAATTTTTCAGCAGTAACATATTCTCTGCTCGATCGCATGGTGTTTGAATATATCAGTTAATACATTACGCTCGTACATGTCCACACTATGCGAACTTAGCAGGGGTGAGCTCCTTACGCAAAACTGTTCTAACAGAGTAATAAGAAAGAAGAACTGAAATCAAAACTGCATAAAAAACTCACAATAGATACCAAAATTAAAATGTGTGCGCCAAATGCGCGCTTCGTGTACAAAAGACTCATCAGTGTCGCTCAAATCAAAAGAGATAAAAAGGCCAAATAAAGTACGAAGTTGAAGAGCATTGAGGACTTAAAATGCCGAAAGGTTTTGCCAAATACAGCTAAGGCAATCTATTCGTGGGGTAAAAAATCCTTAGTATTTCAAAAATTCAAAGTTTTATAGACAATTAATTTATGATAATCACCACATCAATGACAATTCATGTCAACACAGAAGTGCTGTTTATGGTATAAGATTTATCACCATTGGTTGACTGATACGATGTCTCAACTTGCTAACGACATTTCATCGAGGTCTTAGAGCTTTACATACCAGTGCAGTTGTCTGATCTGTAATTTAACCGATTGTGTTCTATTACCAGTTTTGATATTTTGACTGAGTAAGGATTCGCAAGTCGGTTGATGCAGGCATAGCATCAGCGGCTAACCCTGTCGAATAACCTGGTATCGCTCATTTTTTTAGTTTATGCAATTCTTACCGATTTTGTTTCTTACTCTAATTTCAATCGATATATTAGATTTGAATATCGGTAAACTACTGTCGCCTTAAATTATCAAGCATGTCTTTGAAAGCTTTGACATATACTGCCACGTAAGACAAACATAGAGATTGTGCAGAAATTGACAAATTCTTCTGGAATTCAACCAAATTAGGACCCGGTGAATATATCACGCAGCGGTTGACAAACTAAATATTCATAATAAAACAGTTCTTTTTATAATCAATTAGTTAGAGGCTACAGTAGTTGTTACAAATATAACGTTAAAAAGTAAAATAACAAAAATACCGAACTCTAAGGAAAATGGTTTTATAGCTAGCTAAACCTCTCAATTGTATGACAGTCGCATAAAATTCCATTATAGTAACAACAATGTATGAACAAAACAAACAGACATAATAGGTAAAATGTCAAAAATAGGGGTACAACAGTCACCATTGTGTTATAATCTTAATCACTATAAAAATAAACAAAAATGTCAACAAAGAAAAACAAAATGGCATAAAGACAAAGCACATAAGCAAAAATGAAAGACAAGAATCCAAAAAAATTACCATAGCACAAGAACATAATGGCGGGATGTATAAGTACCGAGCCACGCCAAAAGGATATTTCCAAAAATGAACTAAACAGTAAAGGTTAATAATTTACAAAGACAAATAAAAGAACACTATAACACGTAATTAAGATGATACACAAGGTCATTATCTAGAATCTATACTTCAAGACCATCATGTATTATTTGTGAAGTTGATACGGAATATTTATCAACAAAGTCTTGGTATCTTCCGATGAACGTTTTCAGAAAAAGTTTGTTTATCGACTCACGCGTTATATGTTTCTGGTCCTTAAATCTAAAAGCATTGTATTATGTTATATCGGTAATACAGATAACTAAGGTTCAATTGAAAAAAATATCTGTATCAAGGAATTGTAATGTTTCTGCAACTGAAAGTTGGGGGCATATTGTTTTACCCCTGTCCGTCCGTCCTTCCGTCCGTCCTTCCGTCCGTCCGTCCGTCCGTCCGTCCATCCATCCGTCCGTCCGTCTGCCCGTCCGTCCGTCCGTTCGTCCCATTATAGGTATATAATTATTCCAGATAACTCCTCCTACAGTTTGAATGCTAGGAAGTTTTCACTTTGCTGGCTGTTTGTACATATATTGAAGGCGTCCATGTGGTCAGGGTTTTGATTTTTATTAATATTTGCACTTTTTTTTTTGGGAGATAGTTGAACTTATTTTAAAATAACACTTTGCATCTGCGGGGGCATCATTTGTGTCTCCCAGACACAATAACATCTCAAAGAACGTTTTACATTGACTTTGTTATGATACAGTTACTTCAGAGTGGAGTGCTGGGGCATCACTTTGTCTAGTTTTTGATACTGATAGAAAGCTCAAATTGCCTCTGCTGGACTATAAGTTATGTTTTTTTACAATCTTGTAAGGGAGTATCTATTTCCGAACGGAGACGTCTGCTATAAGAGGTGCGGTCTTCCGAGTCTCTCTAACTCACAAAAATGTATGTGAGGCCAGTATACATGTCCTTTGTGTGTATCGTGAAAAGTCGTGACCTGCGCCAAACTTTCAGAATTATCCTTACTGATTCATCCAATAGTAATTTTCAAGATGATAAACAATAACATGACAATTACATGTACTGTCTTTCCTTCACTTTGACTAATATCTTTTGAAATATTTTAATTTATACTATTTCAAACTATCATTTTAGTTGAAAGATTTGTTTCGATTCATTGGCATCCTGTTTGTGTTTATGGTTGGTGTTGGTGTTTTATATCATGCCAATATGTATCCAGCACACTATGATATGTGGAATACTGGTGGCTGGACATACTGGAGAATTTGGAAAATTATGTACATTCCATATTGGCAAATTTATGGAGAACTTTTCCTTGATAAGTTTGAAGGTAAATATTCACTCTTTCTTAAAATAATGCATAAACAGAGAGTTATATATTTTAGTAGCGCATTTAAAGGATAGATTTTTCCTAATACTACAATTTCCATGCGAAATAATTCAGCTCACAATCTTAACATCTTTTGAAAGGTCGATTTGATAATGCATTTTTGTAAATACCAAAAGAAAGAGTTTCACGAGATGTCGAGCAAAGTATACCTCACTCAGTATTAGAAATTGACGTAATGTTTTATTTTCAGCGGGTATGATAAAATTCACAATATTGTTAAACAGGGACTGCCAAGCAAATCAGAAAATAATTTACAAAGTTCAACTCAATATAATAAAACTTGATGAAACGATGAAGTATCAAATAATTTCTTAATACAAAAACTGAATATTATGTAACGAAAAATTCCTTGGACAGTTGATAAAACAATTCACAGTAAAGCCAAGCAACAATAACTGCCCGGCAGATGTGAAAATCGCTTACTTGGTACACATCTACAATTTAAGGTTCCAGACGAAATATCAAATATCTTTACTGCATAAGTGGAGTACCGTGTAATGGTTTTTATGGACGGGTGGACAATGACATTGCGGTCTTCCACCAATTTTGTGAGTGTGGATATAATCTGATTTATTATTATTAAATACAGTTTACCAAAACAATTGCCTATAACAGAAATCTTCATTTCAGTTAATAGTACTACCCCGTGCACTACAATACAAGACGAATGGGAAAGTAACCCGGATATAGAGAGATGTAACCAATATGACTGGGTCCTCATTGTTATTTCTGCATGTTATATGCTTATATCCAACCTACTGTTAGTCAATCTTGTCATTGCCTTGTTTAGGTATGTATCTATATAAGACATATAAGGTATTTCCTTCACGAAAAGCTAATTGAAGTATTGAAGAAAAATGTTAAAAATTCTTCTTCGACTATTTTCATATGATAAAAGAATTGCAATTAAGTCAGTCATTTCAGGAAATAAGATATTTCTTCAATTGTTTTTTATTACAGAAAACATTTGATGTAACATATCTTCATATGTTAGGCTGTCACACTGCTCTCCCATGTTAGGGGAGGGTTGGCGCGCCCGAAAATATGTTTATCGCCGCCACATTCTGTATGTGCCTGTCCCAAGTCAGGAGCCTGTAACTCAGTGGTTGTCATTTGTTGCTGTTTATCAAATTTGTTTTTCGTTTATTCTTTTGTATATAAATCAGGCCGTTAATTTTCTCGTTTGAATTGTTTCACATTCGTCATTTCAGGGCCTTTATGGATGGCTATGGGGTATGGGTTTTGCTCATTGCTGAAGACCAAGCTATCTAGTTGCTAACCTTATACGCTATTTGGTCTTTGCTTGAAAGTTGTCTCATTGGCAATCATACCACATCTTCTTATTCTTATATATCAATATTTATAGTTTTTTTAAATGCCATTCTCAATAATCGCAAAAATATAGTAAGTTGTAGTAAAGTTCCGGAATATGAAGGCACCTACTTTAATTTAATTATTTCTTACCTACGTATGAATGTTCAAATTCACATATCAATTTAAACAAATGTACTTTGGTTGTGTATAATAACATTAAAAGCGAATAAACATATTACATAGTCAATAACTGTGTTTACTCTTATAATGAGTACTTTGTATTGTTTTCTTTTTTTTAAGTTGTTATTGTGCTTAGTACCAGTCTGATGGTGAGTAAATTGGGTTCCAACTGATTTTAACAGTTATCGCTTATGTTGTGTATTACACTAGACTAACTTTCAAAATAAAAATGAGGGAAAAGCATGAACCCAAAAGGACACTCAGTCAAAATGTCACAATCGGGAATAAGACACATTCTTTAAAGTTACAGATCAGATGACTATACTGGTATCTAAAGATCTATAAAAGGGAAAATATGTCGCTACTAAGTTCAGACACCAGCACATTGTTTCGTCAACCAGTTCTTGATGGTAACCGTAAAACTTATGTAGTGTCGATTTCTTCCTCACACTATGTCGGAGCAGTTTTTGTGTAAGGAGCACCGCCTGCTAATGAGGTCAATATAGTGTGAATATAACAAGTGTAACGTATTAACTGAGATATGTGAACGCCATACGATGGAACATACGGTATGTTACTGCACAGAAATGGGAAGTTGACAATTGGAAAGTTGAAATCATCGCGTTTGTCATAGATTCTAGTTTGATGTCATCCATCTGTCAATATCTAGGAAAATATCAAGGTATGAAGTAGTCCTTCTACTATCGATAGTATCCTTAATCTCATGTTTACTGGGTTATATGAGATACTCATTGAAATATGGTTATTGAGTGAGGTTCTTCACAAAGTAAGATTTTTCATGACCTGAAACATGGAATTGAATCTACATTTCCCATTTTTATAGAAAACATTTCCTTCATAAGACAATGTAGTCAATCTGTAAATTGAGTATGGGATATAGTTTTGTAGAGTGTAGAAAAATCAAAGGTTTTGACATTACTGCAAAATTGAAAAGATTGTGATTGAAGATTTTGGAGTAATTTTTCAGATTTTTTAAGAATCCTCATCTGATAGACACAGCTGGTTGAATATACCTCATCACAATGCTTCTGAGGCAATCTTTTACTGTAAATTGGATAGTGGTATGCAGGGTCGGATCCAGCCATTTTTAAAATGGGGTCCCAACCCAGGATAAGGGGGGAGGAGGGGGGTTCCAACCGTATGCCCCCATTCAAAAGCATTGATCGTCAAAGAAAACCCCCCTTGGATCCGCCACTGGTATGAACTTTAGAATTTGTCTAGTCGAACATCTAGACACAATTGTTTCAGGACCTCCACAATTCGATTTCAGATACCCTTAAATGTGTTTTGAGGCCCACAATTATTTCAGAACTTCCATAAATATTTAAGGATATCCTTAAAATGAGTTGTGAAGGTCTTTTGAAATATTCAATTATGAAGCTCCATGAATATTAAGGATATCCTAAAATATTTAAGGATCTCCTGAAATAAAGCAATTTTGACCGGTTATTTATAGAAATCCTGAAATATTTCAGGATATCCTGAAATCGAATTGTGGAGGTCCTGAAATATATCGGGTTATCTTGAAGTCATGTGTGGAGGACCTGAAATATTTCAGAAACTCCTTAAATAAAATACTTTTGACTTCTACATAGATTAAAACAAAGATATTTTAAAAAGCCAAGAAATATGACTCTCATTCCATAAGTATTTCTTGGACACTTTCAGTACTTGTTTCATCTTTACAAGTTATAAAACATTCAAATATGAATAAAAGTAAATGTGGAATTTGCGCCAATGAGACAACAAACCAACAATAAAAATAACCATTAAGAGGGCAGCATTAAATACAACGGTATGTGTTATGTCAATGCCATATGGTAAGTTATTACTCCAAATAGTAAAAATCGAAATACATTACGATATGGCATAAAACAACAACTGACAAGTTTCGCGACTTGGGGCAGGCACATGAAGAAAAACAGGAATATATCGTTGTCTAGATCACTTTCCTCCCCCTTTTAATGTTTATTTGTGGACAACAGAAGGTACACACAAGAACATACAAAACATTTCTTAATCATATTGAATATATTTGATTGAAATATTGATTGAAAGGCTGGAATCAGTTCAATTCCCATACTAAGCAACTATTGTATAGTCTCTGCAGGTGCTAAGATTTTAAACGTATTGTATTTGCTGTATTTTAAGACTATTCACTCCATCATAGGAAAACAGGGTAATATATCAAATAAATCATTTTGTCATTACTTGCAAATGATCAACAACTTAACTTGACGAAACAGTAGCCTTAGGTAACGAATTTAAAAACTATAATTCTTTTAGTTACCGTTTTGAAATTGTGCAATCCAATTCTGAGAGACTTTGGAGATATTGGAGATATGCTGTTATCATGGATTATCGTACCAGAGTTCCTGCTCCTCTGAATTTGATTATCAGACCTTTTATGACGATTTCAAAATGTATCAAAAGTTGTAAAAAGTGTTGTGGTAAAAAACCTGGAGCAGGTCAGTTACATGTTCATATAAGAGAGGCTAAAGATACCAAAGGGACATTCAAACTCATAAATCGAAAATAAACTGACAATGCCATGGATAAAAAAAAAAGACAAACAGACAAACAATAGTACGCAAAACACAACATAGTAAACTAAAGATTGAGCAACACGAACCCCACCAAAAACTGATGGGTGATCTCAGGTGCTCCGGAAGGATGAGCAGATCCTGCTCCACATGTGGCACCTGTCGTGTTACTCATGTTAGTACAAACCCGGTAATAAGTCTAATTTGGTAGGTCACATTCGGGGAAAAGGGGACGGAATTGTAGATACGGCATTTGGAACATATCTGCTAATATCTGTGAAATGGATATTCCATAACGGTCATACTATTCCATAATATTCCATATTCTGCAATTCCCGATAAATCATAGAAAAGTCATCATTTAAGTGATGTCCTTTTCCCAAATGTTGTTTTGTATAATAATTTTTAAAAAATGCAATTCAGATGGATTTACATTACATAACACAAAAATTCAGTTCTAGTTCATTTTTTTATACAATTGCTACTTCTTGTTCTAAAATAGAGGATCGTTGCATCCTTTCGTTGAACATTGATGCTTCTTCAATGGGGCAATTGCAGATACCAGTGTATTGTTTTGGGTTCTGGGTCGAGAATAATAATTAAGACATATATCAATTGGATGACTTTTGAATAAACATCTTTTAACTAGAGTTTTAGTTGGACTCATATTCCAAACAGACATTTGGTGAATTGATTGATTGGTGGTAAATAACGCCACTTTCACCACTATTGGTTATTTCGCGGCGTTTGTATAATGCATGAATTTTTTTATCAATTTAATATTTACCTAGTAACCTTGTCAGACATTATTTAAAATGACTAAAAATGACTAAAAATACTAGGTATAAAGCATCCTTTCTGAATGGGGACATCAAATCTGATGCCTTGTGTAAGGAGAGTGCTTAACTCTCTACACGTTAAAAACTCTTTCACGGATTAGTTTTTTCAGTTTCGAATGTCCTTCTAATCCATTTATTTAAAACGTCAAAATCTGCTAAAATCTTACAAATTTCAGTTTTGAGCCTTTTTTTGCATTTACAACTTAAGAGTCGTGCTAGAAATTATTTATCATGTTAAAAAATATACATTATGTTGTAACAATTACAAATTATACACTATATGAAGAAATGATACTGTGACTTTGTCTTTTTTAACTTTTTTGATTCGAGTGTCACTGATGAGTCTTTTGTAGGCGAAATGTTCGTTTGGCATACAAAATTTTAATCCTGGTATCTATGATATGTTTATTGTATTGAAGATTGAAAAGCTGTTTTATGAAATGGTCCTAGAGTTTAAGAAATCTAGAGAAAACTTCTTGTGTCTCTTACAGCATTCACATCAGAACTTCCTCTTTTCAGATCGTGACGCATTTAAAAGAATGGAAAGATTACAGGACATCAGTGCTAACAAATGCATCCGCACAATGAAGATCTGACAAATTCTTTTTTTCTGGAAAACAAAATATTACACAACCAACATATCATATTTTAGACAATTTTGTAAGCAATGAACTATTTGTTTTGAACTTATCTTCTAACGGTCTTAAAAGTATTGTGATGTAGTTATTGTTGTTAAGACCCTTGTTTATCGTGTCGCCTTCAATGAAAATGACAGAAGCAAGACTAAGGCGTGCTGTTTCTGTTATAAAGGTTTCTCTAACTTTTGAAAAGTCAAAATAAAGTCTATCAAATATTTTTCATTTAATAGGCGAGTTTATTATTTAAATTTCTAC